CTAAGACAAAATCTGGATCCCTTCGATCAATACGACGACGCGACTTTGAACGACGCCCTGAAAGCATCGGGTTTGTTCTCGCTGCAGGACGACGATAATGAAGGTGCTATAAATCTTGATAGTGCCATTTCGAGTGGCGGTAGTAACCTCTCTGTTGGTCAACGCCAAATCATTGCTCTTGCGCGCGCGATTGTCCGAGGCAGCAAGCTTTTAATTCTTGATGAAGGTTAGACAATGCCTTGCGTCTGAAGGCCATCATTCTCAGCTTTCATCCACAGCAACATCTGCCATAGATTACAAAACGGACACCGTGATTCAGTCTTCCCTTAGAAACGAGTTGAAGGGTGATGTTACCTTAATCACTGTTGCCCATCGGCTTCAGACGATCATGGATGCTGACAGAATTGTACGTATCGGTTGCAACTGTCCCATATATGTTGACTGTGATTAATTGACTTTACCTTTTGCAGCTGGTCCTTGATGCTGGTAATATTGTAAGCTAACTTCTGACTTTGACCACCTGTCCAATATTCTGATATTCCGAAGGTTGAATATGACAGTCCTGTTGCGCTATTGAAAAAAGAGAACGGACGTCTCCGAGCAATGGTCGATGAGTCGAACGATAAAGATACATTGTACGCCATGGCAGAAGGCAAGAGGATCACGTTTTGAACGCCGTTTGATATGAGTGTATATACTTATATATGGTGTTGAAGATGTTGAAAATAGAGTGTATATAGAAACAAAGCAGTATACGAGCACTGTACAATGCCAAGTCGTCATGAAAATAGCGGGAAGTAATCAACCAAGCTTCGGCCGTGGCAACAAAGATTTCGAACAAGATTTTCATCTTCTGTAAACTTCGACAGCTTCACGACTGCGAGGAGGATATTCCCTACGAGGAGGTGGCCCAGGAGGTGTAGCCGGATAGTTACCATCAGGTCCAGGAGCATACTCGTAGGCACCAGAAGAACGGCCAGCGGGACTTTCAGAACGACGCCTGTAACAACATTAAGAAAAGTCAAGGACGACGTAGGATATATTCATGCCTAAATCTAGTCTCAGGTGTTGCACCTCGAGGGTAATCAGCAAACCGGGGTGGCGTCATAGGACGACCGCGGTAGTCCGGATAATCCCTGAAAGCTATTGGAACCAGACCGACAGGACAAAGGACTAGGTAGCTCACCGGGGCATCCGATCGAAGTCTTCTCGATATCTGGGAGGGGTTCTAGGACGTCCGCTTGGAGGGGGAGGATAGGAAAACCGCTCCGTCTTTTTGTCATAGCGATCGTAGCCATACGCAGGCGGAGGAATAGGTCCACGGTAAGCAGCCTCGGGAGGATAGCGGCCCCTGTCAAGATATCGGTCACGCTCCATCATTGGGGGAGGACGTCTGTAGTCGTCATATCGACTAGGTGGGGGTGGATATTCTCGATAGTCTCTGACAGGAGATGGGGGTCGCCGAAAGTCACGCGCAGGAGGCGGGTAGTCATAGCGCGTGTCACGAGGAACAGGCGGAGCATGATCACGCTGGATACGTTCAATCAAGGGGGGTTCGTTAGGGCGACGAGGTGGAGGGCTACATCACTATCAGTGAGAAGACGACACAGCTCACGGACTATCACTTACGGCCCTGCAATTGGACATTCCCTGATTTACAACGCATTAAATACAGTCTCTACGAAATTAACATAACACTCACCGTGCCCAATGACCCATCTGCCCACACCTGAAACAGGCTCCAGGATCACTTGAGTATTTTGCAGTCCTACCACCACCATGAGACAGTTCGACACGAATCTTGTTACCCATAAAGTAGCCTTCGTTGTATTTTGCAACACTTTCTTCAGCAGCCTCACGGTTGTCAAATTCCTGCATTGGTTGAGTGGGAGACGTGACATATTTGTGGGAACCATCATACCACAAAACCATAACCAATTCTGCAGTAAATTGTGGTCAGATAAGAACGTGATGGCCGAGATAAATGCGTACTTGAGTTCTATGTTAACAATGTTACCAATTTTCCCAAAACATCCTTGCAAATCCTCTTGACGCGTGTTCTCGGGAAGACCTCCGATATAGACTTTGTTCGGCTACACAGCAGAAAGTAAACACCCAGTAGAGATATAGTGGAGGAAAAGTGCAGAGGGGGGAACGTTGTCGAGCCCCGAGAAGAATAAGCCAAGAGCCTGCAATGAGAGTCGAGTAAAGCCAACTCAAGGTCACCCATTGAGCAAAGGAGAGACGCCAGGCTACCAAACCAAACAAGGGGCCTTTTCTTCTCATATCTTCCTTCATTTTGGACTCTAACAAAGACGCACTGAAGCAATAGACAGGAAAGACCTAAGCACCTTCACTTGCTTTTCGCGGAACATAGGATCGCCCTTTATGCTAGAACCGGAGACGGCGGGGTCTGTGCTGGAACCCCGCTTGTAGTCTGCAGCCTCCGGTCCCTGGCCAGGGTGATGATCATTGGGGAGAAGAGATCCACCGTTAGGTTCATCGCCGACTCTGGTAGGCGCCGATGTCTTGTCGTCGGCAGCACGCCAGTTCGCCTGAGCTTCGTCCACGACGGGAGAGGCCATGATAGTAAGAGACAAGAAATTTTACCGCTTCCGAGACAAGACAGGAGACTTGCGGCGTCGGAGTTTGAATTATTGGGTCCGTGCGCGCCAAACAGCACATTGTATGTCGGTCTCCCTTTCTCACGGTATGAAATATACTAGTAATATGTGATTTAAACATTTGGTATACTGTCCATTGTAGAATGCGCTACGGTATCAAGTCCAGTAGTCTTCCGAATACCCATACTTTTTCCTTAAAGAAGAGTCCAAACACCGCTGATCACCCCAATGGCGACGAGACCGAAGACACCAAAGACAACAGTGCGGTCGGCAATAATTTCAACCGCGCCGTTAGAGCCGCCACCGCTGGAACCCGAAGATCCAGAACTACCGGTGGAGGTGGAGGAACTGCCGCCACTGCCGCTAGTAAGAGTAGCAGGAGAAGAAGGAACGAAGGTTGCGGAGGGGTTAGACACGCAGGAGGTTGCTGCGCTTGTCGCCACAGCATTCGATGCAGCACTGTTGACGGTACCATTTCCAGAAAAGCTGCATGCCTGCGCATCTTTGTTATTGCGCTCGTAATATTCGCTCATGACGTATGACAGTTTAATCGCTGCAAAACAATGAATCAGAGCTGCGCAAGGTGGAAAAGGCTGTGGGTCTTACTGGGATCGCAGCCGGAAAGACGGCCATAGGTTCCATTCGCACCACTGCCACCAATATCGTCGCAAGACCCACCCGAAGATCCTAAGAGACTGCATGCTGTGTTGATCAAATCACCCACAATAGCGCTGTAGTTCGCAGTATGTGGTGTGAATTGACAGTCAAGTGATTGGAACAAACAATTGCATGCATCCTCGTTGGGCGTGGGAGGTAAGGTGCTTGAAGCAGCAAAGGTAGCATTAGTCGTGGGACACGCCGGATAGGTGGTGGTAGCAGACGACTGCGAAGGGCTGTTGGGAGGACTGATCTGGCCGTATTCCGTCTTGAGCCGAGCAAAATCATCGCCAGTAGTGACACTGTTCCCATCGGAAGAGATGTTGACCATGCCGAATTGACCTTGGACGCTGGTAGCAGGGAAGTAGGAAAAGGCAATTCCTCCAGACCAAACGTCCGACATCTGTGAGCTGAATAAGGCCTGGGTTTCCGTCCATAAACGCGGCCCTCCAGTTATGCAGCCGAATTCACTGAAATATGCTACGACGTTGTATCCCAGATAATCCGCCTCGATATTGGCGTAAGACGCTTCAAAGGTGGAATCTCCGCACCACGCACTTGAAAAATGCCATCAGTGGCTTATTACGATTCCAATGACTTTGAACATACTATTCGTTTAGACCGTAGATGTCGATAGCTGTTGCACCCGAGTTGTCGCCTGAGGGGTCACAAGAAAAAAAGTTTGCAAGTGGGAGACGGAAACTCGTGTCACCGTCGATAGACGAATAACCAACCAAGGCGGGCGACGACTTGGACTGCCTAAGGATTTGTTAGGAAATGACATGCGAGAGAAAGGATAGTAAGCGCCTACAAGTAAGCCTTGATGTCGCGAGCCGCCGCTTTAACGTAAGGGGCTACCGCTGTGCTGTTTGCTATGACGACCTCATTGCCGACATTATAAGCGAGGACGTTGTCGTATTGATCAAATACATCAATGGTCCGGAGATATTGGTCCATGATGTTGGTCGACCAAGAGGGAGAGGTGCGGTCAATGGAGCCGTTCAAAGGAAGTGCAAGATCGATTCTGACGAAGGAGCATGAATGAATAAGAGGGAAACTACGAAACGCGGTCAACTCACATTGTGTAAATACCGGCGTCGCTGAGCGTCTTCATGCAGGCATCATGGTTCAGACTGGAATTGACGCTGTAGACGCGAATGGTATTCACGCCGAGCTGCTGAAGGAAGGGCAAGTCGCGGCTGCAAGCAGAACCTGAGCTGAGAGGATCAATGAAGGTCGAGGGCTCTCCGAAAGCGTTGTCGGAACTCGCGACGACGGTGCCTACATCGTCCTTAGCATTGAACTGTCCATGAAAGGTAAGTTAAACGGTGCTTGCCTTGTTCCTGGTATGCTATGCCCTTGATATAGAACCTGGTGCCACCGTCTTCGTAAAGGTATCTACCCGACCGTGTGATTTTCGAAATTGCATTGACCGAGCTGACAAAAGAGGAGGCGGCGGCCAAAAGCGCAGTCACTGTGCCTGCTTTGCTTAACATGACGACGTATCAACGCCGGAAAAACGCGTGGAACAGCAAGAATGAGAGAAGGAAGGAGAGGGAACGGGAGCGAGACTGTGAGTCGAGAAAATGCCGTTCTTATATTTCAGTCCCCGCCTGAAACTCGGCTGACATGCTCCTGAAACTCATGCTCCATCTAAAGTCAGTCGGTCTCAAATGCCCTTAGCAATGATATAGTGCTTTTCTGACAAACAAATTTACTGCCCGCCTAGCTCAATCGGATAGAGCGTCAGACTCTTAATGGCTAGAAGGCGGATCTGAAGGCTGCGAGTTCGACTCTCGCGGTGGGCTACTTCATTTTTCATTCTGTCGGTTTTTCAAATGTCCCGACTCCCAACTCTAGCAAGCGTCATTTCCTCAACCTTTACCGGGTAACAATGATTCCCATGAATTAGAACTTCGGGAGTTCTTTCTCTTCCGGTCGTTGTTTTTGATGACCTGCTACGTGGCCGTCTTGCCCGAGTTGACATTTCTAGAAGAAGTTTAATACGGTCGTTGGGTTATTTGTCAATAATTTGAACACAGAACCGTAGTCGTATTTCTTTCTATTCAATCACACCCAACCGTACTTGGAGTAGATGGAGTTCACAATAAGGTTGTGGCGTATACCAAATGACCGGCCCGCGCTGTTGATACCGTACTTCCATCTGGGCAGTGCAGCATCGTGATGTCGGCCACAGTATCTGACGATGAAACGATCCAGTCAGTGATATCAAGCATATATTCCGCTCTTCCGCGACTTGGTACCGCCAAACTGCACACTGCAGTCATCGATGCGCGTCCGGAATGGAGGGGCGTGGTTGGTGAAAAACGGATACGGCGTGTGATGGCGAGCTCGAAACAGGACGCAGAGACAGAGTGTCCTATCAAGGAGAATGATGCTCTGGCTACGAAAACAAAGGCTAAAAAGAAGAAAAAGAAGGCCACTGCAGGAGCTACCTATCCAACTTCGTCTCTCCTTCCCGACTCTGCGCTGACGCTCCCGCCGACGGTTGCAGTGCGATACTTTGACAAACAAAAGGGGAAGGGTTTTGTCGCCCTCAGTCACATTGGAGAAGGCGAAATGTTATGGAAGGAGGATCCGTGGATTCTCGCACCAGAGTGGAACATCTTTGACCTCCAGCAGCGCGCTGTTGCTTGTGGCCACTGTTCAACACCGTTTTCCCAATCTTCTGCCCTTGTGGTCTCTTGCCCCCACTGCTCTGTGCGATATTGCACTCGCCTTTGCCTCTCACGATCCGCATCTACCCATCCCCTTCTCTGCCCAGGTCAGAACAGTGCCAGTGTTCCCTTGCTCAAGCAGGCAAGATCCCTGGCATGGATGGCCCTGCATGCACTTTCACGCGCCACCGCTCGCGTTTTGTTGGGTGGCGTACAGGAATGGGACGTCGTCAAGGCCATGGCCGAGCTTGGGATGGAAGAGCGGTTTGAAAAGATTCATGTGACGCCGGAGCGGGAGACATGGAAACAAGTATGGAAATTGTATCTCGACGCATTCCGATCTCCTCAAGCCTTGAAAATTGTTGCAAAGGCAAAAAAGCCGCTGGGGGAACAAACGGAGAAGGAGCTGTTTAGCTATGAAGGTTTCCTGAGAGGATTGGGAAGGATGAGCTTGAGTACGCGGTCGCTATCTACATCTCAGCTTTGCATTCTGATATATAATATAGACCTTGAATCGCACGGAGGATTATATCTCCTCCACTCTCATTTGAACCATTCTTGTGATCCCAACCTGTCTATCAGGCATCTACAACAGTCGTCTGCACTTGCACGCATAACCGTAATAGCTAGACGTGCCATTTTGCCAAACGAGGAACTGACAATCACATATGTTGATCCGTCTTTGGGTGTAACTCAAAGACGGCAAGCACTCAGAGAATGGGGTTTTGGCGACTGTACATGTTCTCGGTGCGATAGAGAAGCTGCGGCCACAGCTGAATTACAAGAGAGAAAGGGAGACAATAGTCTGGATCTGAAGAATTTGGAGCGCGAGTTGAAGGAGGGGTTGGGATTATGGGGATAGACCATCTCCGCGGAAGCAAAAATACAGTTCGGATTGACGCTCTAATCTATCTACTCCAGACAAAGCAGATATGGCAAATATGTGAGTAAATATACGGTAGAACCTGATCCACGGGCATAAGTTGAATAGGTAGCTATGCCTAGTACCCACGATGATGGCCAGCAAACATCGGTTATCCACGGTATGTGCAACACCTTGGAGGACCGGTTAGAGGTGTTTGATGAATACACACTATGAACCCACGTACGTTATCATGTAAGGTATGATGGAGACGAACAGACAAGCGAACGCAGCCCAGAGTAAGTAGAGCACTGGGCCGACGGAAACATCAATGCCAACGAGCACCGGATTGGAGGCGTCACCGATGAGCACGTCGTTGATAGTGGCCGACTTGTTTATCATGGCCGTCCATATTGCAGCCCCACAAAGGATTAAGATGGTGCTTAGAGCAGCAAAGACGGTGGAAATGAAAAAGGTGAAAGCTTGCTTAAACATACCGCTACAGTGCAAAGATGAATCAGTTGGTGAGGAACAGAGGAAGGAAGGAATTCTGACGTGAGCAAGGCCACCGCAGTGGTGACTGTGCCAATGATGATCAAGTAATAGGCAGATTTGGTGGGCTGGCCAAGAAAATGGGAATTTTGGAAAGTGGTACCGCTGACAACCGCCTGGGTAATTGCGCTGTAGTTGGCAGTCATGTCGTTCGTGATGATATCATAAGGTCGGTATTCGTAGGCAGCGGTGTGGTTGGAGCAGATGCCTTCCTTGGCTGCAACATAACCACAATGGGAGTAGAGCCCAAATTGATAGTATTGACGTAACCCCCGAGACTCGAGGAGGGGCTCAGAGGCATTATCGGTGTAAAGCCCGTAGATCGGGTCAAGCAGGGCAGTTTGAAGGGATTGCCTGATGCGAGCAAAATGAAGAGAACATAGGACTGATAAAAATGGACTTACCCATACTGAGAAACATTGACTTTTGCCTAGAAACGTCACATCAAACGAGGGAATGCGGTTGATGAGAAGGGCATACCAAATATAATGCGCGAGGAACAGCAGATGTGTTGATTTGACCGACCTAAAGAATGAGCAACAGAAGACACAAGGAAATGCGAAGCATACATTGACAAAGATTAGCAGAATCAGTGCAGCAAATCTGTAGTGACAGAAGACAACAGCATTGTTGAGCATCATACTACGACGTAAAGAATACGCGATATACGCACGATAAAAGGCTAGCGAAGCCGACAAATATCTCGCCGCGCATCGTTACAGAGAGAAGAAAAGAGAAAGAGAGAAGAGAAGAACAAATTTCGCGCCGTAACGCTGCCTCGACCAACGAACAACGTCGGTTGGAAAAGAGATCTAAACACGACCTGAACATGTGTCGGCTTTTGCCGTGCGATGCCGCAATCGTGCCGAATTGGCGTCAACATGTAAGTACTCGTCTCTCCTCCCGACGTCCACAGCCTCTCCTTCGCTGCGTACCACGGCAATCTCAATGGACACGCTGCCAGTACTGCAGCCCATTTCGCATGATCCTGGTGCTGCACCTGCCTTGAACACCTCGCCAGAGGCCCTTGGCTTCGCTGACTCTCCTGTCGTATCCGGTGAGTCCAAGGACTCGCCTAGCAGCAGTCGCGTGAAGCGCTTTTCGTCTGCCATGGAAAAGACTGTGGATAAGCTAGGAAGGAGTATTAGCGGCAAGTCGTCTGGAAGTCCATCAGCGGGAGGCCATCGACGATTATTCAGTATGAGCCGTAAGGGAAAGACGACTGACCGTTCCGACGGTATATCTCTTCCTTTTGCTCCATTATCATCTGATTCAATACCTCGATTACAGGCGTACCAACCCCTTCCTCTACCACTACTCCGTCGACCTCCCGACCGACATCCCCCATAAAGCTTGTGCGGCCCACGCCGCCGATTCAGGATGACTCTCCTTTCATTACACCTCCCTCCCCTCGCCTATCGCCTACGCGGCCCAGTTTGACATCCTTTCGCGGAGATGGTTCCGTAAGTTTATCCTCCAAATGATCACCTGGTCGGAAGACTCATATCATCTTACTGGAGTAGATGCGTGCGGGAACCCAAACTCTCATACAAGCCCTGCAGGCTCTCCCTTGGACGAAAGACCCTGATAATGATGATGACTTCGTAAATCATAGCAATTTGACGCCTGCCACAGACTCTGACAGTGAAGACGACGACAAATCCAGTGAACGTAAGTTACATCCGTGCCGACTTCATCCGGCTTCAGTTTAATTGCTCCTTACCTAGCACCCGCCCACTTGGCTTCTTCATTACACACCATATACCGTCCTCTGGCTCGTTCCCGCAAATATAGCATAGGTCCAAGCCAGCTGCATCGTCGATCGACACTGTCCGATCATTCTCCCTCCAGCGAGGACGAGCCGTCCTTAAGCGATTCACCGGCCCCGTCGGACGAAGAAGGCGTTGACGAGGCTGACGATTTCGAGGAGGCGACGCCGAGAATGCCTGGTGCTAAAGAACCTGCAGCGCTGACCCCCATTATCTCGGCTTCTACCAGGCAAATATTCGCGGCTGAAAGCCTAGAACAATTGGGTATGGCACGTACTGGTAGTATGGCTACGGTTCGCTTCCAGAGAAGAGCCATGCTAGCGGATAAGTTGAGGGAGGTCTTTGAACTTGAAGGCATCGAGGAAGTCCGAGCTGGTATGAATGACAAACCTGAGCTCCTGTGTGTCACTTACATTGATTTTCAGAGATGCCTTGCTGGCTGCTTCGATCTATTTGTGAGTCATCGGAATTGACTGCACAGAAATGACATTGAATATTTTGAAAGTGCTTCAAGGTTACATGTACCTGACCAACGCGTACCTTTGTTTCTTTGCCCACATGCCCTCCAAAGAGGTAAGCTTCTAAAAAGGAATTTGCCGAATGCTAGTTCATTCCGTGTCAATCCGTAGGATCAAGTTCTGAAATCGGGTTCGTTGACAAAGAAGGCGCAGCGCACCAAACGTTGGATTAAGCACTGGTTTGTGTTGAAGAATGACGCCCTGAGCTGGTATCAGTCTTCATCTGTAAGATTTTCAAGGATGACTCAATATTGACTCTAACTTCGTACCACAGGATCCTTACTTTCCTCATGGAATAGTGGATTTGCGTTATGCTATTTCCTGCGAGCCTGTTCGCGACAAAGAATTTCGTGTACGAACAAACCAGAAGACCATTCTCCTGTACGCAGATTCCGTTCCGAGCAGAGAAGAGTGGGTGAAGGCTATAAG